CTTACAATCAGCGCAAGATGTGACACCTCAGAAAGGAGGGATAAAAGTTCTTCAACCCCGCCACGTGACTCAAATTTTTCCCATGATGTTTCAAGATTATCCAAGACCAAGAGACATGGGGGTCCATGGGCAAAATGTTGGACAACAGTTTTGGTGAGGTCCCTGCCAGGTTTCAATCCTATATTGGATCCAACCAAGGCTGCGAGTTCAATGCTGGTGGTAGCTGAATCACAGGCCACAAACAACTTAGTTTCATAGTTTGCACTGATGCCTGGGTGATGGAGTGCAGCTTTGGCAAGGCTGGTTTTTCCAATTCCACCGGTCCCCAGAATTGCGACTCTGGGTGCTTCTTTATGGTCGAAAGTTTGAACAATTTGATGGAGTTCTGTTTCCCGCCCATGGAATATCTTTGGTTTGGCAGGCAATAACCCAAAGGAAATTGAGCTTTCAAAGATGATTAGTTCACAAGTTCGATGTTCAACAGATTCCGGTACCTCTTTTGTGAGCCAGTGACACTGTGGTATACCTGATTCATGACTAATGAGCTCTTGAAATAGTCAGAGATCATTAACATACAGATGACGACCTGTCTGAACTTCCCTCAGTCATGTTCGAAATCAAGTCGAGAAGTTCTTCATGGAGCTTCTCCGTTCTTTCTTGGATTTTGAGAGCATCTGCCAAGATTGCAACACCGGTCTCAATCTTTTTTTTTTTTCGGAATTCATGTGTGAGCAATTGGACATTGACATATAAGTCATACCTTGAATAGCTCCAAGGCCTGCTGAAGTCCTGCCTGACACTCTTTGAAGAGTATTCTCATCTCGCTTTGACGAAGGAAGTGTTTGAGCCTGCTCTTCTCTTGCTGGCCTTCTACAAATGTATGTATCTTGTGCAGAGTGCTCACCTATGCTAAATTTCAGAGAGACGAGAGCATTTGGCAAACTTACTTTGTGAACTTTCCAATGTGATCCAGGGTTGATGGTGGGAGGGACCCCTGTGGGTCGGATTGCATATGAAGCTTGGCAATAGCAAATAGAATTTCATGTATGTCCTTCATGAGATGGACACACTCGTCCTTGTTGTTTTTCACATTCTGAAAGGCCAAGTCAATGTGGGAGTATGTGGGAGCTACTCTCCTCTGTTACCTGCATGGCAGAAACTAGGTTAAGGGCTGTGTTTGAAATGGCCTGCACAAAAGGGGCACCAAAACAATCAAGCAGTTCATTCAAGAGTGCCAGCACAGGAGTCAAGCAGGCTACTATGCTGTTCAGCTGGATATCGATGATGGTGAGCTTGCGGGGCATCGCTATGGGGGAGGGAGGAGACCACAGGCCCGAGATGCAGACTTTGTACGCTACCTGCGGTGATAGTCATCTTCATCAAGTTCTCCCACATAGCGGAAGATCATCAATGTTCCACCCCTTGATTTGGTACGATATGGGGGTAGGTGCTAATACATATGTCTTGTTCAGTTTGCTCACATTGTGGGCAATGACTGCCAGCTACTGTCCGGGATCATGGGCCCAGTGGGGAGACAATCCTAACCTGTCAAACTGCCCTCTGTCGGAATTACATCTTGTATTCACCACCTTGATATGTGGTGTTTGATATGTGGTGACAATCATGCTTGTCATCAAGTTCTCCCGCGCAGTGCGGGAGATAATCAACGTCCCGTCGTACCCTACTACGATTGACGGTCGCTTTGTGGCCCCTTGACTCATATCATGCTGCTGGAAGGCTTCGCCTTTGAACATTGGCCGCATAAATGTTATTCTGTTGGAAGGAGTTGATCACTGCAGGACTTGTACAATGATACCTATTCCATGGTCTTCGTCTATATTAATATGTGCTGTTGATGCTTGTAGTCACGATGACGGCAAAGAATGGGTTCTCCTCGCAAGACATTAGCTCCTGGTACCCAGTAGTCGAATTATGTTCTATGCTATCTGTGGTTTATCCCACGGTGCGGGGAGGGATCAGAAAGATGAGTACGGTCTCTCCTGTTGCGGTCACCCGGGGATTGAGGGAAGACACGCACTTGAACGGATGATCTGGGGATTGGAGAGAGCACGGTTTCCCTTCCCCACGCACGCGAGATGAGGAGCACACCGAATCGCCCCACACGGCGTATTCACACCGGCGGTTGTTTGATGCACCTTCTGCAGATCCGCCGGCGAGTCTCACCTGTCACTCCCACACAGGCATCCGAGGCGTGCTCCTCTCCATGTGCAATGTGGGTGTCCCACGCGTCACCGCGACGCTGGGATGCGCAGACATCCTCTGCCGAGGCTGTCCGCCCCGCCATGGTTGATCGGTTTCGACCCAACAGCCCCTTTGACTGATGGAATTTTCTCAGCGGGATGGCACGGTCAACGATTGTTCGTGGGTTTGGTTTCCCTCGCGACGATTCTGACTCGGGATTTAAACTCCGCTAACCTAACATAATCTGATGTCTCCTCTCACCCAATCGTCCGCCATGGTCGAGACAGGGACCCTAATAACACTTTGAAAGGCTTTAGCTCAGCTCCTCGGCCAAATTGTAGTTGCCACAGACTATGTAACAGCTCTCAGCTACATAATCAACATGTACCTCGCGCGTCAACACCTTACTTTGGTACGCAAGATGTAGCCTTGAGGCAGTGGCGCACTGCCTGGGCCTGTATGTGCCTCTCACACAACTGAATAGTTACACCTTGCATGTCTTATGCACGTCTGAACATTATGTGGCCTGGTCGAGCCTCAGCTCGTACGGCTGACGTCTAAGTTTAAAAAGGAACCCCTCTGCGGCGATCAAGCCGCGATCGGAGTGTGAATTCATCAACGAATATGTGCATATGGGCAACTCAAAGGAATGTCAATCGACAACTAATTGAAGCTCTTGTTGATAAAAATCAAATCCATGGCCTGAATCAACTACGAATTCGGCCAAAGCCATAAAGTGAGAGACGTGGCATTGCCCGTCAATGGTATCAAGAAAGACCAGGTGGCGGAGGGTCCGCATCCACATTCCGTAGTTGTCCTTTCCCGGGATATATGTAGACTCCCCCGTTCGACTCGGGGCCTGGTGGTTCGGCTTTGGGACAGTTTTGTTCTTATTTGCCTGATGTGTTGTGCCGTGCGCATCCGTCGGAATTTCTGCATGGATGGGGAGGGAGATGGAAAGAACGGGAACAAAGTGTCGGAAGGAAGACGGATGCCGCGAGCTGCGAGTGTTGCTGACGTTCCAACGTCGAAGGAGCTGTTGATGCGTGGGGTCCGATCACGCGTAGACAAGACAAGGCGACGGAACGCCCGCCCCTAGCGATGTCCATTAATAGAAGTAGAATCTCCTATTCGACTCCGGGCTTGGTCATTTGATGGTCGTTGTCGTTTTGTGCGGGCGGGCGATGAGCTTGCTGGTAAGGACTTGGGATCGCCCGTGCGCGCGCATTGAGAACAGAGAGATCCCGCGGCGTTGGAGGATAGATCGCGTCACGGCACAAATCTCTACGCGGTTAGAGTTCCTTGAAGCCCCAACTACGTGAATATTAATCGGAAGCAGTCAAGATACCGGCGAGGTGCGAGCCGTTAGACTGAGATCGATGGCAGCATACTCCTGAGGCGAGTGTGAGTCCGAGACGAAGCATAATGAGACGCAGTGAGGCGCAGTGCGAGCCTAGTCAGACGTTGCAAGTGTGCGCGAGCCCAGTCTCAAGGGGCCGACGGCGTGATTGCCGTAGAAGCCAAGGAGAAAGGTGTAATCAAAGCATCTGAGCAGGTTAGAGCGACATCCTGAACGAACCCCCGAACGGCGACCTAGTTTGGAGATGACGGTCGGAAGCAAGGAGGCGGCCGATGATCGGATCAAGCGGAGTCAGCAGCGATTACGTCACCCACCTCTCTCCTCTCGCACTCGTCTTCGCCGTCCCTGCCATCGTTTTAGTCCTTGCCGCACTGGGATCCGCCGTGCGAAGTGGAAACTAACCTGAATGAAGCCCACGATAAGATCCCCAGCACTAGGAATGGGAGGGGAAGACAACGCGCGGCGGGTTTGGAGCAGCGCGCGCGGATCGCGTCGGCGCCGTCGAGGGTTGGGAGTTTCGAACAGCCACCCTACTCCAGCGCGTATGCTCTTCCTCATCAGCACCGCCGGCACCGAGTGTGCCGCGCGCCCCGCAGAATATGCAGGGTATGCCGTCCCTGCAGGCGACGCCGCACTCCCCGACGCTGTGCGGTTTTTCTTACGCGCGGGCCCCCAGTCCTCCTCGCCGTGGCTGGCCCTTGCGCGTAAAAATCTTTCTCGCGACCAGCCGTTGTCAATCGGCGAATTCAAGCGCGGCTTCTTCGTGCTGCTTTCATTTCCTCTAGTGGACCTTGCTTCTCAGTCCCCGTCTTGCTTTTCCTTGGTCTTCTCTTGACTTTCTCCTTTCGTCCCCTCCATCCTCTTCCTCCGTCCGTACACGGCATCTACCGCAGGGCCTATCGACGCCCCCCTCCTCCCTTCCTCCAGGCTTATCTTACTTAATAACACTCTTACTCCCTTGCCGTCATTGGGTCTCGCTCCAACTCTCTCCTCCCCTGTACCTCGGTTGAATGAATCGCTCATGGCATCGGGCACATATGTACACTCGCTCGCCGTACCAGACGATTGGGCGAGCGGTTCCCAGGTGCCGACTGCCGAGTCGCACGGGGACCTGTATAATCGGCATGCGCAGCCCATGCCATCTCGCCCCGAATGTAAAATCATCACCGCGCAAATTTTATTTCATTTCTTCCCTGTCGGTCCGCCGTACAGTACAGTGCTTCTCCAAAATTTTGCTTCAGCTGTGTTCACCCCGTGCCGCAACGACAATCTGCCGCATCGCGGGAGCCTTGTTGGTGTGGGATCGACTGTCCCCGAACACGTACGTTGAGGTCGGTCGGGCTACAATAATGTAGCCATTTCCCAGTAGAATCAACTCCTCACACTGCCTGGAAGATTTAACCCTCAACTCAGGGTAAAAGGAAATAGAGCAATACTATGACCTAGCCTGGATTCGAACCAGGAACCCCCTCGAGTATTAATCTCAGCTGTTCAACAAGCGCGGGTGCGATTCATTTCGCTACTAGGTCTGATTACTGCTGAGCGTCCCTCGCACAGGTGCAGGTCTTCTTCCCTAGCACCTCTACCTGACATGTACCACTGTTCCCCACCGGCGCCATGATCATCCGAAGGGCTCTCTTCATATTCCCTTCGTGCTCAAACACGCACCACACAGCAATGCCGGGCCAAGAACGAGTCGCCTCGCCGTCACCGAGAAGGAAAAAATTCGAGTCTCAGGGAATGACCTAGCCTGGAGTCGAACCAGGAGGCCCCTCGACTAATGGTATCGCAATCGGCAATCGTGTGAGGGTGCGATTACTTTCGCTACTAGGTCCCTTTCCTATCGAAGTTTCGCCACACAGGTGCGATTGTTTGAGCAAGTTGATCGATGGACCTCCTGCGCGCAAATTGCTGAGCCCCGTATGCTTGAGGACTACTTCCTTTGCTCACCAAAGCGCTTCTCCCCTCGTTTCCGTCAATACGTGCTTCAACGGCCAGGATATACACTCGCTCGCTGCCGCGGTGTGCTTAAAAATATTGGCAAAGGCCCCGACCTGGATTCGGACCAAGCCCTTCAAATCATGATTTGACAGCCCGCCAATGATCGAGGGCGTGCTCCGTTTCACCATCGGGTCTCCACTCTCGCCGCTGATCCTGATCGCCGTGACTATCTGCTCGATCTATTTCTGTTAGTTCCGATGTGAACGGTCCAACTCCACTTCGAGTGTTCATTTACGACAACTTTGGCTATTTAATCCGTGGATATAAATGGGTATGGAGCTTGCTCAAGAGACGGGCACTTAATTAGGCGCCCCTGCATTACTTGAGTGATTCTCAACAAACGAGGTACGGGTGTCATCGAGGGACATTGGCGGGTTGATCGCAGCTGAATCGTGTTCAGTTCATAAGGGTCGTCTGTAAGTATGACATGAGGCTCTGAAAAGAGACCAGGTGGCGGACGGTCCGCGTCTGCAGCTAATGTTAGCTGTTGCAGGAAGTTCCAGTGGATTGCCCGTTCGACTCGGGGCCCGGTCATTGGGCGATTTCTAAGACTTTTTTCCTGGACGGCGATTCGCATGAATAATGAGAGTTTTCTTGCGAAGCAGGTAACATCTGCGAGCCGGAATAAGAATCCTATTTCCAGTCTTTGATCTTCTCGAGTGGTTCAACTTTCCAGGGACGATCATGATGGATGCACGGGAGTCTCCTTACAAATCGGGGAGTTTGCCAAGGAATGGGGACTCTCCTACTCGATCTGACCCCCACCTCGGCGTGCTCTGGATGATGCGACTTCGACTAATAGTTGCAGGAGCTACTAGTCCGTCGGACAACACGGTTGAACACTGGTGCAATTCTTATGCTGTGTGCCGCGCAGCTTTGTGCATTCTCTTATGCGGCTACCTGAAGACTGGCCCCTTCTATACCTCTATGTGGGTCTCTGCCTTCGCGTATACGCGGCAATCAGCTGATTGAAACATGATCTGACCGGCCGTGTAATGCTACCTACCTACCTACCTACCAAGGCCGTGGCCAGAGACTAGATATTTGTGGACCATTGATCTGTGAACGGCGTGGTTGTAATGTACTCAACGGGCAAGTAGCGGCTTCAAACATCGGATCGGGAATACGTGAGACGCGCGGCGGTCGACCAATGATTTTTTTGCCGTGCATTTCGACTCTCACCCGAGGTTGCCGAAAGACAGAATGCCAAATGGACTTCATAGGTTCCGTAGGTAGCACGAATTCTTCCCCACCCTTGCTCTTTGATGCCTTCACAACTGCTGTCTTGGGATTCAGTATTAGTCTTCCCCCCCACTGTAACCTTGTTCACCGGAATCTCCCAGGTGAGAAGTGTCGAATGTTTGCCGATCGCCCCCTCGGGGTCTTGTTTTCTCCGTTGTAACTGGCGACTGCTGTGCAACGGAAAATTGAAGTAACATGGACACAAGAATCTAGCTGAAGACTCCTGGTGGATCTCGGTTAAATGTCGATATGCCGACGGCATCGGTGAAATATTGATTTGTTTCTCTGGCAATTTTTTGGACACGTCCAAGTCGTAGCGTCGACAACTCTCGCACCACCGGGCGACGGCGGGCGGCATGCCATTGAGCGTGGCTGCCGACTTTCCTTCTGCACACTGAATTTTATTGCTGCTGCAGTACCGATATTAATGAACTATTTACCAGCGGCGAAGCTTGAGATGAGGCGTCATAGGGGAGAACATTTGCACAATCTGCGCCACAACAATCGATGGGCGCTCTGATGGGAGGGATCCTCGGTGTTCGGTGTTCGGTGACATGATCCCAGCCGTAACATCAATCGGGGGGAAGCGACTCATCAGCGCTGTAAGTTCAAACCCAAATTAGGTTGGGGCACCCAACACCGGATAATCCGAAAATGGAGCTGCTCTCGTAATGGTCACCTTGCGCCTATACACGCGCACTCATCTCCCGACCTAAATAAATGGCTAAGCCGATCGGTGACCGCTGACTTCCATCCTTCCCGCCCATCTTCTCTCACTGAACTTCAGAATGGTTATGCCGCACAGAGCCGCTTCCCATATCGATCAAGGTCCCGCGCGCATTAGCAATCCGCAACGCTCTCAGGATCCCGCGACTTCACCCCGTGATATCCGCTGCCCAGAATTTGCGACGACCGGCCGCTCTCAAGAGATGGACAGTTCATCCGATTCCACTCTGAAGACCTTCGGCCGGCCCGCACATGCCGCTGGCCTTCAGTTCGACCACACTCTTCCGCATTTTGACGTATGCGATATTCTTCAGCACCACCTTCGCACCATGTTTAATAAATGCTACCTCACAGATGTCACTTCTCGACACCGAAGACTATTTTACTTCTTCGTCAAAATATCTGCATCCATCCACCAACTGCGCTGGTTCGCCGGAAGCTTTGTTTTCTTACTCACATCTACCAAGAGGTGGATCGGTCTCGAGCCAAGATGGAGCCTCTTCGACCCCTAGTCCTCCGCCCGACATCTTCAGTACACAGTCTTCCCCGGGATATCTTCGCACCGAGGTGAGAGGCAGTCGCTACTTTTATTCCTTCACCTGACCCTGGATTGAATAGCTTCCGAACCCACTGGACACTGCGCGTCCACACTATGTGGGTGAGCAGCACCCTGAGTCCTTGCATTACCTGGGGGCATACAGCCAACACTTGCCCACCGACCCCCAGTACAACGTAACTCTCCTGTCTCGCCCTCACTCCATACACGAGCTCCCATCGCTGTATCGGCCGGTCGACAACTTTTGGAACGTTCTCCCCTCGACCGGGATGCCGGCCATCTCCCACACGAGCCGATGCGCGGTCTCGCAGCTGCCGCACGCAGAAATGCCTCTCTTTAGTGCATCCGGGCGCTACCCGACGATCGACGGCCTACACCGGTGGCCGCAGATGTTTAGCAGGGGCGTGAGGACGGCCGCAAAGAAGCAAACCCTCGCATGCCACTTTTGTCGCGACCGCAAGATCGGGTGTACGCGCCCCGATGAGGACGAGCCGGATCAGACATGCAAGTGCGTTCCATTATGTTAAGATTTGTTTTGGGAATCAATGCTGACTGCATTGCTCGTAGTCAATGCGCGCGCCGGAAAAGACAATGTGAGTACCCGACGGAGTCGCGTCGGGGGCAACACGCCCGTCGCCGCACTTCCAAGAAATGGAACATCCCCTCCGTGATCCCACCAACGTTGAACACATCCTTCTAATGAATATTCAACCCGGGCTGTTCGCTCACGGTGTCATCGTAGTCTCATCTCAGCTTCTGTAGCTCGTACCGACTTGTATCCATTACTACCCCCATGTCCGCCCGGTAAATATCCGCCCTGGGGAATGCATTCTTCGTTCTACATTGGTCTAAACTGAGATACTGGAGCCCTTGTTCCCAAAATGGCGATCCTCCGAAATAAGCGCCAAACGCGTACGAGAGACTCCATCTAATCTTGCCCGTCCCACCACTTTGACCAGTGGTCAAATCGAAGTGGCTCTACCCATGTCGCAACTCCAAGCTCGGAGCCTACTGAAGAACGCAACATGATAGTAGATGGCCACTGCAATCAGAGTTAATAGGTATTTTGATGAAGGGGCGAATAGAAGCATCGGGATCGTCGGGGGCTGGCGCTCGTTTGGCACTGTATGAGGACCACGGCACAGGTTGCGATGTCTGATTATCCGACCGCTGTGGACTTCAAGATGAGATGGGTACACCTCTACAGTACCCGTGCACGGCGTGTATCACTTTAATTGTTGAGCCAAAAAAAGCGTATATGCTGGCCCCTGGGAGAGACGGATGCATCATAACAAGAATACGAGTGCAATAGGAGGATCTTCCCTAAAAATACAAGGGTTGTAATCCACATCGGCTCGAAGACAACAGAGATCTCAGCAGATCGGAGTCTGCGATCGACGGAGAGTCGGCACTATTAAAGTATTCAGTTTCAGGCACTAAAAATAGGGTGCTTGAAGGTGATGACAAGGCAAACACTTGTCTATCAGCGCGCACACTAATAAGACGGTCAGCGTGATCATGAAAAAAACAATCGGTGGACAAAAAAAGGATAACGGGATTTTCGGCGGGTTTCCAAACGACGTTCATCCCAGCGCTCCCTATGACCAGGGCAGTTGATTGCCGCATAGTTCGTATTCTTCCACACATTAAACACTTGGTGCGATGTACGTCGGCTACGTTCAGGTTTGTAATGGGACACGATATCTCGACTATCCCCTCAATTGAGCCCGGATTGGGTTAGGAGTATTTTGAAACATATTTCTGGAATACCATAAGCCTGGATCTCAATTGCGATACTATCGATAGGTCCCAATGCCACTCCACGAATGGCATCACGTCCTGCCGGAAAATAGAGAGGCCCGATGTCATACTCGCCTCGAGGAAATGCATGGGCTGGGCCAGTTGCCCGCTTCTACTGACAGAAAGTGTATGACGCACTTGATCCGATGCGGATAGGCCGATGGATACGGGACGGGGCTGAGAAATATCAGTCGCAGTGGGCAC